CCCCTGCCCCACAACCGACACGAGCAGCGGCACCGCAGCGTGACACCCGTCCGCCCCCCAAGTAGTACAAATGAACACACACACACACACACACACACACACACACACACACACGTGTACACTCACACACACGCACGGAAAGCCACACCCACATGCGCGCGCACGCGCTGACATGTATGCAGACGCACCAGTATCTCCAGGAGCTCCGCGATGCCGTTGTGGTGCTCCGTCTCGAATATGAAGCGGTAGAACACGTTGTTGATGGCCTTGCGGATGAACGGCCGGTGGACCATGAACTTGCCTGGGGGCCAGCGTGGAGGGCGCGGGCGGGTTGGGCTACAACTGGGTGCTGCAAGCACGCAGGCCGCCCCGCGTCTTCCGAGCCCCTGCTGCGCCAACCTCTGCAGTGCTGGTCAACACAGTAGCACCGCTGGTATGCACCACAGCAGCAGAGCAGCTACACACCGCCGCAGCAGAGCTGCTCGCAGCAGGCAAGGACTTTCCTCACGCTGCTCCCAGACCCATGCTCAACGTCAGCCCCACGGCGCAACAGGCCAACCTTGCCGCAGATCGTCTGCTCAGATCTCCCGCCCAGATCACCCCTCACCGTAGATCCTGTGCAGGATGGTCTTCAGGTAATCCCTCTCCCGCGGGTCCTCGCTGTCAAACAGCTCCAGCAGCCGCAGCACAAAACCCTGGTCCACATACCTAACATACAACAAGAGAAGGGAGACGCATGTCTTCAGAGGTTTGCTGTCGCCACTTTCAAGCTGCATGAGATGTCGTTCCGAGGTGTCCCATCGCAAAGTCTGCCGGGAGGATCGCACCCGCAGCTGCCGAGCATGGTCAAGGAGGCGGCGCCGGCCGCTCCACGGACCAGAGGGACAGGCCCTCTCCCCACGCCGCGGCCGAGCGCTCGCCCGCACCCCTGCGCCCCGCCGCTCGGCCGCTCACTTTTTGGCCACCTTGGCGTCCGTATCGTTGGACACCACATACCGCAGCAGGAACTCGTAGACGATCTGGGGTGACGGAGCGGGTGACGGGCGGGTGACCGGTGGGTGATTGTGGTGAGAGGGCCGAACACGCGACCCCCAGCGCCGTGCACACGAGGGTGTGCACGTGCACCTGCGCGCTCGTCGAAAGCCGCCATGAAAGGGGGCGAAACGCGGTGAGCAAGCGCCCAGCTCTTGCCGATGATGGGAGCATAAAGGTGTGCTGCTGCTTGTGCGCAATGGAATGCTGTTTGTTGGACATGGACTCGAGGGTGGGGGTCCCGCCGCCCAGCCCTGCCATTGCTGAGGCATTGCTGCTGCGACTACGTCGCTGCTCCATCGTCGCGTGCGTGCCACTCAGTGCCTGTCGAGCCCATCGCCCGGCGCCAGCTGGAAACTGCCACGAACCAGCCTTCACCATCAGTGCCGAGCTTCTGCTGCTGTCAGCACGTGTTGCGGCTGGCTGCCTGCCGGCATGGCCGTTGCCGCGCCCTGGCAGCGCGACTGCACCAGCCCGCATCACCACGGCCGCGCCGCCTGCGACTGCCACGGAACCCCTGGGCTGCGGCCAACAGAGGCTGCTCTGCACGCCCGTACCGCAGCTGCGGCGCAGTAATCGGCTTCCTCCCCTTCAACTCTGCTCGGCCGACACTGCAGCCACCTGCCTTGGCGCACGGGCCCCGCCATTGCTCAAACTGCTCCGGCCGATGCGGCCGACGGACCCGGTCAAACCCTAGGTCAAACGCGCACCTGCAGGTGCGGCCACGCCGGCTCCAGCAGCGGCTCCTCCTCCTCCGGGTCAAAGTTGTCCACGTCGTGGCTGCGGCTGGGCGGCAGCGTCCGGAACAGGTTCTGGCTCAGCATGAACACTATGTCCTCGCTGACCGCCTCTGTGAACTTGCCCTGGCCGCTGTTGGCATAGTCCACGAGTTCCAGCAGCGTCTGCCGCTTGAGCTCCTTCTCGCGGACGGTTTTGGAGGGGTCCGAGAAGTCGAAAGAGAAGGAGCAGAGGTGCAGCTTCTGCACGAAGAGCAGCTGCTTCTCGGCGGGCGGGACGTCCCGGAAGCTGGGCAGGGGCTCGGCAAAATACGAGCGCATCGACGCCTCTGTCAGCACTGGCAGGCCGGGCTTCTCACGGGCGCCGCCGCCGCCCTGGCCCGCCGCGCCGCCCTGCGCGCCGCCAGGGCCGGCACCGAGGCCGCCCGCGCTCGGGCCGCCGCGCGCGGCGAGGTTTGCGCCCGGCGGCGGCGCGCCGCCGGGCCCGCTGCTGGGCTGCTTGCTGCTGGTGTTGCTGGGCGGTGCCGAAATGGCCACCGCCTTGCTGCTGCTGGTCGATGCAGGGACCTCCTCCTTAGCCACCTTCTTTCCGGCAACCTTTGCCTTTAGGGACCTGAGGTGAAAGGCGGGTTCAGGGAGGCGAGTCCCAGCACTAGTGGGTCCCCGAGTGCAGCACGCTGGTGATCGCGGTGGGGCCCCGGTGGGCCCGCCTCCGACTCGGTGACTACACCGTTATCCCTCTACCCCGCTCTCAAAGCAGTTTTCAGGCGCCCAGATGTGCCACTGACTTCAGCATGGTGGCCTTGCCGGTCCCCCGGGCTCCCTGTTCAAGGGCCTAGCGGATCCGAGTTGTTCTGGCCTGGCCTGAGCTGCATAGAGGGTGCCAGTCCTCCGTCACTCAGCCATGCGATCTCTAGGCACACCTCCCTGGCACCACAGCCATTACCGGTATTACAAGGAGTTACGCTTATATGCAGTGAGATTCAGACACATACACGCTTGCAGACACCTTTTTTGGATCAGCTGCTCTCCAGCTGCCTTCACTCGTGCTTGCGCTCCCTCGCCGGTCGAGACAAGAACGGGGCTCAGCGTCGACTTGGACCTTCCCATATGCATCTTCAGTATCATACGGGTGCTGTAAAGGCCCTGAGGGCGCCCAAGCCCATACCGTACAGAAAATGGCAGATCAAAGTAGTGTGGCGCGCCTTATAGAGGAGCTCACCACGCCAGATGGTTATGGACGTCATATTGATGGGATTGTTGACGACGAGCTGGGGCAGCGCCTGGCCACGCTCAAGTCCATGCTCAAATTCGACGCGACGCTCGTCGCGCACGCCCACGCGGTGCTGTTCGAGCGCCTGGCAGCCCCCGAGGTCGAGGTGCGTACGACATGGCCCGCATTACCGCAGCCGGCCAGCGACTGGCGGCGGGCCACGGGCAGCCGTGTTCCCTGTTAAATCGCGGATGGCCCCCACGCGGCGCGCATGACATGTGCAGCAGCTGCGAGCGGCGCGGCCAGTAGCCCTCGACGCTCTCGCGCCGCTTGCACCACTTATTGCAGGCGCGCCGGCCTCTTTGAACCCCCATCACCTTGCACACTCAACCCTTCACAAAATACCCCACACTCTCTCAACC